TTGTTTTGTTGTCTTGTGGTTCAATTCCATTCATAGTGATGGGTTTGCCTTTGTGCATCATGAGTAGCAAACACTGCTTTATCTCAAATTACATTCAGATTTCATCGATACAGTTCCTAACTAATCAATCTTTTCATTTAGTTTACAGCATACAATTTTAAGTCATCCAAGTACATTAAATGGTGGCTGACATTTTCCTTTGCTTTTTCATCATTTAACAGTAGATTCAGTGATATCATGATTATGGCAAATAGAAACAAAGAGAGATTCCTTGAAGAAGCTCCATTTTGATAGTTATTTCTGTTAAAGATCTTCATCAACATTTTACACTGTAATCACAATTATTTCTCCATCTTTACATTATTATGATCTTGCACTTTATAAATGTTAGCATAGCATTTTGATTAAGAAAGTTATAGTTATAATCTTCAACAATAATGATAACATCTATTCTCACATCATTGCCAGAAATGCTGTTATAAAATAATAATACAAATGATTCTTATATGCATCACTATCAAATTATAGTGTGGAACATCATGACAAATTGACTGACAAAGATTTTGACTCAGTAGAGCAAATAAAGAAGATGGCAAAAACGATTTCCTAGAAAATGCAACAAAATGAAGAGTAATTATTTTAATTTATTAGATGAAGCATTGTCACTTACTAAGCTTGGACTAGTATTTCTTTCATCTCATTTCTCTTATTTTTATTGTAACTCTCATACATAATGTAGAGTAAGAGGCCATGGATTTACCTGCTGTTATATAGGATTAAAATGTTGCTGCCAACACTTGAGTTTGAACATAGATCACCAGTGAGTAAAGACAGGCAATCCCATTATTGAATTAAGTAGACCACATGACCATAGAGAAAATGAATATATGGGAGGGTAACGTGCATCTAATTGATCTGCAATTCTATTCTATCCTCTATTACTATACAGTTCGCTATTTTCTATTCTATTCACTTTACTATTTCTCTCTTCAGATCACTATAGAGATTACTGTTTGAATGAGTATTATCGAGCAAGTACTATTAGTGCCAATGATATTCGAAAGCATCTGACAAACAGTATTGTTCAACGGCATACTATAGTTGTATCTTCAATTACAAAATCTCTACTACAATGAGCATTACAAAAGTGACAATGAGTATTTGTTGACTTCACAAAACCTACCATAGTTCATATTTTAATTTGAAAGAGAGTCTATTCCTGATCTGATAACCTGAAGAGTAAATGGCCATGTTTAAATGCAAATGGGAGAACTGCCCAATAAACTTTGAATTGATAAAGTTTGTAATAAACAATAACAAGAAAAGAAAAGTAAAGAACAGGACAAAAAATAATATTGAACAAGTAAACAATATATGCAAGACAAAGCAACAGCAAAAAGGCAAAATGTTCACAAACTAAGAGCTACTGATGACACACAAGAATGAATTCAGATAAGCGAACATAACATTCTGATTTCAAGACAAGACAGACTGGGACTGAGTCAGGTGAGACTGAGAAGTGGTATATATTATTGGCTAGGAAGAAATCCCAGCATGCATTTGTGTGGTTTTGCTTATAAGCTGGGGAGGTGGAAGTATTTTGTAGTCATTCCCAATTAATATTTGAACCAATACATAAGACATAAAAATAGAGAATATAGTTACATGGCTAAATGTATAAAACAAATTATTTTATGTGAATAAAAAATTATATGAATGTTGCAGGAATAGAAAATATTATTTTATATCTCTTAGTACATTTATCCCACAAACAATATTTTGGTGGATTCATGTGAGTCTGGGTGAAACAAGGAAAAACATGAAATTCAAACAAACAACAATTAATAAATGTATTAACAAGACATATTACAGAAGGATAAAGAAAGAAACAAAATTGAACTTACAAACAGTTCAATACAATCTTCAGTGTACTTACATGCCTTGTGTTTATCAGGGTGAAAGAAAACATGTGTTACTGTTTCAAAAGTCAAAGGGAAAAGAGGAAGAGCCTTTCAAATTTCATCCCACCTGTGATTGATGTCCAACATGCATAAACAAATTTTATTATATGCACAAAAGAAATTGTATATGTCTTGTATTACCGAGAACATGACACAATTTGCTATGTTCAATACATTTTTATTACAAATCTTCATTCACACCAACTCCCTTGGCTGCCTACATGTCACGTTTAGATCTCGTTTTGTAGTTTCATTTATATGAGATCTCACATTATTCAACAATATGCATAAAAGAAAATGTATTAGATTCATCAAATAAATTGGTTATATTTATAAAGAATTTCATGAATTAAGAGAATTTTCAAAATCACTTCACATAGAACAAATAAATATTCAGATATGAAATGATATTGAAATTAAGTATTTTTTTCTCTTTTGTTCAAAATGTTTATTTAGCTGTCCTATTAAAGAAAAGAAGATTGATAAAAAAAATAACAGCATAAATTTCTGAACTTAGGTTAAACCAATGTTTATGTTGGGGTTACAATTAGTTTTAGCAAAGCTGATGTGCTAAATCTAAGTTCTTCCTCTTGAAAGAAGAATGGAATCAGTGGAACTATTGAAGATAACCAGCTTTTTTTCTTGCTTCTGTTTCTGCTAATAATGCATGAATTCTCTCTTGGAGAATTAATAAAGAACACTGCTGACAATAGCAAATCATTTCTGGATGTACACAGGTCACAGAAGTCATCATTATTAATGCCTGTGAACTTGAATTTAACATAATCATGTTTGAACCTGTTTCAGTTGTACTTTCACTGAGTAAGTGACTTCTTTCTTCTTGGCTATATAGTTGTGCCAATTGTTAATTAGTTCTTGCCTTCCAGACAATTACCATTCATCCAAAACATCATTGCTTTGGATTCTATATGTGCTTTGCAATTGTGTCTGCTATTATTAGATGTTTTGCTTCAATTTTCTTCATTATTATCTCATGTTTCACTTCACATTTATGACTGTTTCATTTGGCTTATTAACCTTTCAGGATTCAATATACTTTGCTGACATCTTTCACCCAGCTGCTGCATCTAATAATCAACTTTTACTCATCAAGCAGAAAGAGTTTACACTGATATAAATGGTTTGATATTATCTTCTTCTAAGTGCCTTGTCTCTTCAAGGTGTGGGTTATTACAGCTCTCCACAGCTTTCTATCCTTTGTAGTTCTTATCAATGTTTCTTTTTTTTACTATCCCTCCCAATTCCTGTTTTGCCATCCATTTACACAAACTCGTTAGATAAATAACTCACCATTTCCATTTGCTCCTTTTGCCATCTTTATGGATGTCAAAGTCTTTCTTAAAAACATTAATGCATTAGATTAATAAGGATCAAGATATTGTAATCCTCTTTTGGGGAGTGCAAAAAGAACAGGGTTTGCTATTTGTATTATATTTAAATTGAATGTTAAGTAGAATCTTGGCAGAAACCTATTGTAACTTGGTTTAGATTTTATATGATGGACAAAGATTACTACTCAATGAAAAAATAAAAAAATAAATAAAAAGAGATACATTTAAAAATACTTAATCATAATTTAATCAATTAAAAATTAACCAAAAGAGATAATTACACTGACAAAGTTAAAAATGATAGAGAATAGTAGAAGTTGAACATAGCTAAAGAACCCAATCTGTCCTATATAGACATAGCTGGGGCGGGGGAGAAGAGATGGATTCATACCTTTCTCAAGGGTATTTGGGCATAAGAGAATGTAACAGAATTGACTGGAATTTGAAATCAGCTGTCTGATTTCTCATTCCAAGACAAAATCCATTGCGCCACAGTGCACCTCCAGAGGCACAGTAGAGTAATGGATTGCAGCTCGGATTACAGAATCTGAGAATTGAATTCATTAAATTCACTTACATGCTAAAAACTTTGGGAAAGGTATGAATCCAACTCTTCTCTCCCCAGCTGTAAAACAGATTGAGTTGTATAGCCTTGGGTAACAACCAGTCTAGGAGAAGGAAAACTCTGTATTCAAAACTGTATGCATCCTTGGTGAAGCGCTTGCTATGCAGCTAAGGAAAGAATCGCTTGCAGCTAAGGAAAGAATCGCTTGCATTGACTTGATGATCCCAACTATGGTCGACTCCTATAGAAAGTATTCATTCTAAAGAATAATAATTATAAATATAGATGAAAAAATAATAAATGCTTAATTCATTGAGAGTGGTTATGGGATTTCTCACAAGAAATTTCTGGGTTTTCTTAATCTGACAGTGAATCAGAGATTGATGCATGATGTTTCATATTGGAAGTTGAAGGCAATGACAGTCCTGCAGCAGCTGATGAGTCAGTCATTTATGTGCCATATGTGATACATGCTTAGGCGATCATGTATCTTTCGATACATGACTGATGAGGCAGATTTTTTCCCGCAGCAAGTTGCTATTTCTTTCTGTGGTAGACCAGATGCTATCCAAGGCTATAGAACCCAGTCTGTTCTGTTATTTACCCATAGCTGGGAGGAGAAGAATAGGATTCATAGCTTCCCCAAGGGTATTAGCATGTAAGTGAATGTAAAGGATTTGACTGGAATTTGAACTTGGCTCTCTGATTCCTAAACCTGAGCTGCTATCCATTACTCCACTGTGCCTCCTAGTGAGATATTTCTGTAATATGATGCCACATGAAAATATCCTTTACCAAATTTGTTAACATGAGGTTGATAATAAATTTACTGACATTTTTTGACAAACTGTTTTGTTCATATAAATTCATGGCATCATTATTAAGCCATCAAATTATTTTCTCTGACTTTCTATGCATACACCACCTTACCATACACCACCTTTCACATAAATTGTATATTTCATTAAATAAATAAATGAATGAATGTATTTTAAATTGAAGAATTCTTTCAGGAATTTTTCAATATATTGAACTCATTGCAAGAAATGAGCTCACAAAGATAGTAGCATGGACTACAAATGAAAGTGAAGAGAATACATCATATGTCAGGGGGTCTCAAACTCAAGGCCACAAAAGAGCCATTACGAGCTGATGGAGAGATGCAGGGTAAGCGCTAACCCAGAGGTCCCCACAAAGCTGAATGGTCATTTTGGGCCAAAGGAAATGTGAAAGTGAAAGAGAGAGAGAGGGTGTGTGAGAGAGAGAGAAATTGAGAGAAGAAAAGTGGGAGAGAGTGAGAGAGGGAAAGTGAGAGAGAGAGAGGGAAAGTGAGAGAGAGAGAGAGAGAGAGAGGGATGAGAGAGAGTGAAAGAAGGAAAGTGAGAAAGAGTGAGTGAGGGAAAGTGAGAAATAGAGGGAAGTGAAAGAGAGAGAGGGATGAGAGAGAGAGAAAGCCACAGAAGGAAAGTGAGAGAGAGAGAGGGAAAAGAGAGAGAGAGAGAGGGAAGTGAAAGAGAGAGAGGGATGAGAGAGAGGAGAGAAGGAAAGTGAGAAAGACTGAGGAAGGAAAGGAGAGAGAGAGGGAAGTGAAAAGAGAGAGATGAGAGAGAAAGTGAGAGAGAAAAGGGAAAGGAAAGAAAGAGAAAGTGAAAGAGATAGAGAGGGAGAAAGAAAGAGAGAGAGAGAGAGAGAGAGAGAGAGAGAGAGAGAAGGAATAAAGTCAGAGTGGATGAGACAGACTGGAAAGATTTTGAATCTATTCCAGCTGTTTGTGTTTATTAAGTATATCCTTAAAAAATCAAGATTTATGTCATTTTTAAAAAGAATCATCATTTTTCAGAATGTTGGCCACCCTATTTATCTTTGTCACAAATAATCCAACTTTTCTTGAAAAGTTTGGTTATCTTTGGCAATATTCCTTTTCTTTGACATTGTTCATATCTTTTGTTTCATTTTTCTTCCTTGTAATTTCAGTTTATTTAACAATGTTCTCTCAAACCTCTTTCTAATATGATTTTCTATTGTTTGCATCAGTTTTTTTTAAGCAATTCACCCCAAGCAAGGCAGGAGTGCCACTAGCCCACAAGTGGTCTCAGAGGATTGAGAACAAGAGTAAAGAGGTGTGTTTGAGGAAAGAATACAGAGATGGATGGAGTACAAGATCAAGGTATCAGAAGATGTCGATTGACATTACATTTGAATATTTGAAGGTTATAGTTATCAAGCAAGAGAAATGGAGTTCCATAGCTGGGAAGTGTGAGAGAAGAAGCTGTTTGAGTAAAAGACATGGTTACATTTAACCATTTTGACAGGGAAAGGGTGGGACCAAGATGCCAGCCTAGTAGCTTGCTTAAATTCATGCAGTCTGGGAACCAGCGAAAATAGCTTGTCGGAACAGTTGCCATGAAAATACTTGTACAAGAGACAGAGAGAAGTCACAGCATGTCTATGAGAAAGCAACTGTAGATGAGATGCCAGGTCAGAACCTATTGCATTGCATATTCATCTCTGGATTTTGTTGAGGTCCTCGAGATGTACAGCAGGGGCACCAGACCATTCCCTCCATCTTAATAATGAGATCAAATATATTCCTCCTATTGTTATGAAAAAATTACTCATATTTTGTTTTGTATGGTGGTTAACTGCTACCTGTGTACCTACTCCACCCAAATATATTATCAAATCTATTCTTTCTCACCTTCTAAAAAGATTTTAAAAAGCTTTCCATTTCCACATATCTGATTTAGTTGTATTGAATCTTAGTTTCCAATCCACTTCCAATAAGACCCTGAAACAAGTGGTAACCATTTCTCTGATGTTCTTATCAGAGTTTTAACAGAGGACAGGAAAGTGCGATACTGAAATCCAAAGGCGCATTGGGATAAACAAAAATGCCTTCCAAAAGCTCAGCAGAGTACTAAGAAGCAAGAAAACTTCATTAGGAACAAAGAAAGGAGTACTGAACTGTTATGTGATATCTGTCCTCCCATATGGCAGTAAATGCTGGATAATCCTCAAAGATGAAGAGACTTGAAGAAACAGAAATGAGGTTCTACGGAAGGATGCTGAGGATACTGTGGACTGAATATGTGAGCAACAACAAAGTCTTAGAGAAAATAGAATTTTCTCCCCTTCTTTGGAGAGGGCTAGAATATACCTTGATGCCCTTAAAATTGACTGTCTGTTTTTACTTAATGGGTAGGTCAAGCTCAATCCTGCTATTGAATAAGTATGGATGGGGGATGGGACATATTACAATTCCAGGAAAATATTGGCCATGAGCTGTGGAATGATAGCCATGTGTTTGAGACCTTTGCCATATGTGGAATAAATTCTGATTTCTGATCATTTATTGCATTGTATTTACAACACAAAGATATATCAAAATCACTTTTCATTTTCCTTTTCCAGAAAATGGCATCTTCTCATCATTTAAATGAGCCTCGTGGACAACACTGGGAACAAAAAAACATAATAATGTCTTAAGAACATAATAAATAATGTCTTAAGAACATAATAAATAATGTCTAAATAATATAATGAATAAATGCAGAGACCATATCTCTTTTTGCTCTTTTTACCAAAAAAGAAAAAAAAATCAAATCTGTAATTTAACTTCTAGATTCATCACAAAATACAAGAATGCCAATCCATGATATTGATTTCACTAAAAATATGCAAGAGAAAAAAAAACTTGTTTTTCTGTAAAAAATAAATTGATAAAAAAAATGATAAAAATAACATTTGATAAAAAATCTGAAATGCTAATAGCATTTGATAGTTTATATAGCTTTCTTACATATTTTTCTTCCGAAGCTTTTTAGAATCTAACAATATTTTTTTCTGTCTGATGACTTGGAATGAGCAGACAAATAGGGCAAATGCATGAATTGTTTGAATGTTGTGTAATTTGATACATTAGTTAATTTTGCTAATTTCATGTTTTTCTTGTTTGAATCATAATTTTAAATTTAATGATTGAATAAGCTACTTACGGGTTCCACAACTATAAAATACATGTGGAAATTCCTCTGTTGTATTGTTAAATATTTGAGGTTAATGATTTTAACAAAATAATGCAACAGCATAAGTATGAATGCAGGTCATTATTTATAGAAGTAACAGGGTACAAATGAAATGTTTAAAAATTAACAAGATTTTTCATTTCACTGAAGAACGGGAGGCACGGTAGTGTAATGGATAGTGGCTTGGATTGAGAAATCAGATCTATCACATTCATTTATGTGGTAATACCCTTCGGAAAGGGTATTAGCACATAATACTCTTCTTCTTCACTCCCAGCCATAGGTAAATAGCAGGACAGACTGGGTTCTATAGCCTTGGATGGCAACCAATCTAGGAGAAAGTAACTCTGAATTCAAAACTGTATGTAACCCTGACATAGCACATACTATACAGCTAAAGAAAGGATCGTTTGCATTAACCCTATGACCTCTACTACTGCTGAATGATAATGATGATGATGATAATGATGAAGCAGACAGTAAATGTATGAGAGTGTTATCACCTCCTGTATTTTCTCTCTCTCTTTTTTTCTTTCTATTATATAGATTTTCTTTTTCTCATTAAGTCCAAATATCAACTCTCATAAACCTTTTCCTTCCATTTTTTTCTTACAGTCAAAACAGAATGGTTCATTATTTATCTGAGATAATGGCAGGATGTAATACACATGCTAAATTACTAACTAATGAACAAGCAGAATTATAAAAATTATTTTTAAGTTAAAATTAATTAAAAATTTTAATCTGTGAAAATTTCAGTTTTCCTATTTGAATTTTCTGATGAATCTTAATTTTTAAGTTAATGATTGAGTAAGCTCATGGCTTGTTCTATGACAATAAAATATCTGTAGAAATTCTCCAATCATATTAAACATTTGAGCTTAATAACTAAGAATTTTTTTTTATTTTAAGAAGAGGGTACAAATTAAAAGATTTGAAATTGATAACTTTTTTATTTCACTAAAACACTTTCTTCTTTCTTTCTTTCTTTATTTCTTTTTTCTTTCTTTCTTTCTTTTATTCATTTTCTCCCTGAAATCAAGTAGTATCTTCTCTTTCCATGCATTAAAAATGGAATAGTCTATTATTTATGAAGTATTGGCAGGAGATGTTATGCCAAACTTCCTTCTTTCCATTTTCTCACTGAAACCAAGTAGTGTCTTTTCACTTCTTTCCATGCAATCAAAATAGAATAGTCTATTATTTATGATGTATTGGCAGGACATAGCGGTTGCGCAAAGTAACTAAGGGCAGAACAAGCACAATTAAGATGATTGGAAAGATACACAAGCAAGATCTAAATTGGCAACTGTTGGTTTCTTAGAATTCAGTTTCATGCTACCACTAATCAATGACAATTTCTTTTTTTAATTATTTCAATTTGCTTGGGAGGAATTCAATCAAAAAATACACAAAGTTGGACTTTAGAAAATTGCTGACTTCTTTTAAACAAATGAAATTTCAAAGGAAAGTGAAAGCCAATTAAAATGATGACTCAAGAAGAAACTTATTTTGACAAAAATTTCTGTTTTCAAATTTGTGATTCTTCAAATAATTTGAATTTCTGAGTGACAAATTCTTTTCATTTCCGAGAATGAAGAAGTATTTATTAATTTATAAATGCTCTACTTAATAATGAGCATTTTACTTACAAAAAATCTTCTTCTATTTGCCATGCCTCTTTAAGACATTGGAGATCATGACACTCCACAATTTACTGTCATTTGTAACTCTTAATAAATTAGGTAGGTGTTATGAATAATCAAGAGTGGTCTCCCCTTGTTTTGCTACTCTCCTCTTTGAGAGAGCTATTTCTGTTTATTGGGACTATAAAAGGACACTATATGCAAACCTTGTATTCTCAGTTGAATAAAGCTTTCTTAAAACCTACACATACATACTTTTGTCATTGCAGTAGGTTATAGGAGACATAGTGAAGATAATGGATATCAGCTTGGATTAAGGAATTGGAGAGCTGAATTGGAATTCCAGTCAGATCCATTACATTCACTTACGTGCTTATAATACCCTAGGGAAAGGTATGTATCCTCTTCTTCTCCCCCTCGTTATGGGCAAATAGCAGGACAGACCAGGTTCTATAGCCTTGGATGGCAACTAGTTTACCGCAGAAAGTAATGGCAACATAATGTGGGAAAAAAATTAGCCTCATCCATCATGTGTCATAAGATACATGATCACCTAAGCATGTATCATGCATGGCACATAACTGACTGATATGTTTACCTCTGTTCTTTTTGCTTGCCTTCAATCTGTCCTGTGAATATCAAATTTTCCAAGCCCTCTTATCTTAAAAAAATGTTACTTTTCAGAAATACACTGGTTAACTGCTTGTTTTTTTGAGCAAAACACAATCTTTGTTGTTGTTATTACTATTATCATTATTATTATTATTATTATTATTATTATTATTACTATTATTATTATTATTATTATTATTATATGACTGCACAGTGCATAGGTTGTTGCATCTATTCTTTTAGATATATCTGAAATATAATATATGATTAGGTAAAAAAATCTTGCAAATGAAAATTGGAAGATTTTAACTTATTTTATATACTTTTTATCCGATGGTTGTATTGAATTATTTGGTTTAGTATGTGGTAAAATCCCTTTAACAGTAATATTAATATTTAAAAAAATTATCTCAAAATAAATTATACTGCCAAGCTATTCTGAAATGTCCTAGAAAAGAACACTGTTCACAAGCATGGCTAACTTGTAATGACATCTTTCATTTCCAGTAGTGGCCAGAAGGTCAAAAGTAGTATTATTCATGATTAA